TGGTTTTCACTTTCAGAAAACAAGATGTGTGTGAGAAGAAGCAGGCGGATCCGGTGCATCGACCCATCACAAGGTTAGAGGATATAACCCTTTAGTGTGATTTTGAGGTTTGTTTGGGTGGATGAAAAAAGTGAAAATAAGTGTTTGAATTTTGAAATTGAAGTGTGTTTCAATGAGTGTAGTGTATAGGCCCCTTCGGTTTTTCACTAGAGGGAAAAAAAATCGATTAATGAGACTTTTCTGTTCTTTAATTTTAGACACAAGTTTCAATGTAACAGATTGTTGATTTTTGTTTACTTTTAGGAGGTTTGCTGCACAGATTGCCAGCACACAGCAAAATCGTGCTGAGGTACTTATATGATGAAATTTTATGCTTTGCACATTGCTCATATCCTTTGACAATTTGAAAGTTGAAACTGGGATTTGAGTGGTGGGATCAATTTGAATGAATGAACAGGGAACCAAGAAGTCAAACTTGGGAAATTCGAATGGATTTGGAGAGGTTATATTTGTTGATGATGAACACAAGCCAACGGATGACCAACCAGTGCCAATGACTTTAGAGCAGACAGAGCCAGTGCATAATGAATTAGATCAGATGGAGGAAGTTGAGATGGAGGATATAATTGATGAGACAGTTTTGGACATTGATATATGTGACGCAAATAATCCCCTTGCAGTGGTGGACTATATTGAAGATCTATACGCCTACTACAGAAAAATGGAGGTAAATTTGGAATTGAATAGTTTGAATTCATTACACTTTTCTGACGGTTTCAAAACAGTTTAACTTTAAATGGGGATACTGTCTGAATTCTAATTTGTCAATTGAACTTTTTTGAGTACTGCATTCAAAAGTTGCATTTTCTGCTAAAGAAAATTCATTATATTGTATTTATATAGCTTTTTACTTTTGAAATTCTTCTCTGTAGAGTTTAATTCACTTTAATAGTTTTAGAAATCAAAAGGGATTCCAGAATGGCAGCTAAACTAACATGGGAATGCCTTTGTATTGAATTTTGGTTATGATAACTAAACAGCATCGCTACAATGCAGGGTTCTAGCTGTGTCTCACCCAATTATATGACACAGCAGTTTGACATTAATGAAAGGATGAGGGCTATACTTATTGACTGGCTTATTGAGGTAAACCAACTGTGCTACAATGATCCTTGTGGATTTTGTTTTGTTTTCAGTGAATTCTAAACTCCCTATGTTTGTTTTGATCCTTCAGGTGCACGACAAATTTGACCTCATGCACGAGACATTGTTTCTCACATTTAATCTCATAGATAGATTTTTGGCAAAGCAGACAGTTGTAAGAAAGAAGCTTCAGTTGGTTGGACTTGTTGCAATGCTTCTGGCATGCAAGTATGAAGAAGTTTCAGTTCCTGTGGTGGGGGATCTAATTCTCATATCAGACAAAGCATACACAAGGAAGGAAGTTCTGGAGATGGTAGATTTGTTTGCCTCGTTACACAGCAGATTAACTGTTTGACAGATTCGTGTGGCTGAACTAACTGATTTTGTTCATTGTGAACTATGCAGGAGAAGTTGATGGTCAACACATTGCAGTTTAACATGTCTGTGCCAACAGCATATGTTTTTATGANAGCTTTTTACTTTTGAAATTCTTCTCTGTAGAGTTTAATTCACTTTAATAGTTTTAGAAATCAAAAGGGATTCCAGAATGGCAGCTAAACTAACATGGGAATGCCTTTGTATTGAATTTTGGTTATGATAACTAAACAGCATCGCTACAATGCAGGGTTCTAGCTGTGTCTCACCCAATTATATGACACAGCAGTTTGACATTAATGAAAGGATGAGGGCTATACTTATTGACTGGCTTATTGAGGTAAACCAACTGTGCTACAATGATCCTTGTGGATTTTGTTTTGTTTTCAGTGAATTCTAAACTCCCTATGTTTGTTTTGATCCTTCAGGTGCACGACAAATTTGACCTCATGCACGAGACATTGTTTCTCACATTTAATCTCATAGATAGATTTTTGGCAAAGCAGACAGTTGTAAGAAAGAAGCTTCAGTTGGTTGGACTTGTTGCAATGCTTCTGGCATGCAAGTATGAAGAAGTTTCAGTTCCTGTGGTGGGGGATCTAATTCTCATATCAGACAAAGCATACACAAGGAAGGAAGTTCTGGAGATGGTAGATTTGTTTGCCTCGTTACACAGCAGATTAACTGTTTGACAGATTCGTGTGGCTGAACTAACTGATTTTGTTCATTGTGAACTATGCAGGAGAAGTTGATGGTCAACACATTGCAGTTTAACATGTCTGTGCCAACAGCATATGTTTTTATGAAAAGATTCCTAAAGGCAGCTCAAGCAGACAGGAAGGTCAGTATTATTCTTCATGTAGTTCTGCCAAAGATTCTGAGTTTAGAAGCATCTAACTTGTTGACTCTATTATTCCTCAACAGCTTGAGCTATTGGCTTTCTTCCTAGTAGAGCTATCTCTAGTGGAATATGAGATGCTGAAGTTCCCTCCATCCTTGCTAGCAGCAGCTGCTATTTATACAGCTCAATGCTCCATTTATGGCTTGAAACAATGGAGTAAAACATGTGAATGGCACTCCAATTACTCAGAAGATCAGCTATTGTAAGTGGTGCATAATTTAATGTTCCAATTACCCAATGGTGTTGTGTAGATAATACTAATGTGTGCTTGATTGTGACTCGCAGAGAGTGCTCTACTTCGATGGTTGATTTTCATCAGAAGGCTGGAAAAGGGAAACTTACTGGGGTACATAGGAAGTACTGTTCATCTAAATTTAACTACACTGCAAAATGTGAACCCGCACATTTTCTTCTTGAGGACTCGTTGTAGCAGGCGGCCATGTATAAAGCCACTAACAAAACATCATCATGATGATATGATATGATACACTTGACTTTGATAATTGGGGGGCCATTTGGTTAATGGATGCAGGCGGTCACATGAATTTGAGCAACTTGGGTTGCACTTATATGTTGTATCTCAAGTGTCGGGTTTGTCTTATGTATTTTGTTGTTCTACTCATGTTATTTTTCCTTCCTTTTACTTTCTGTTATGTTCCAAGTGAACACAACATACTTGAGTCGTGTAATTTCTCTTTGTTCCCATTGAACAAAATAATGGAAACCATGACATAGAAACAACTTCATTCATTTAACAAGTATTTGTGACTTGTCTACTCATGTTTTATCTGTGAATTTGATATTTATAACAACTTGATAGATTTTGATGATATGCAAACTTTAAAATACTCAATACCATATCACAAAATGAACTTCAAGAAGATCAACAAGTAATTATTATATGTGATGTTGTTTGAGTCTTAAAAACAAATAACTAAGTGGTTCATAGTAATTCTTGTCTGCTGATATTAAACCAGGTTGAGTCTAATTAGAATTATGGTTCCCACTCATACTAATATTTCAAATTTATAATACAATACTTTGTATATAATATGTTAATCACGTCAATATTAAGTAATATAAATATTTTATTATATTGACATTTCTAAAACATATTATATAGGTAAAACTTCAAATTACTATTTAATAATATAAGAATAACCACATATTAAAAAAAATAAATGAAAAGAAACTTTAGAATATAAAAAAATAAAAAGAAATAAGAGTTAACTCTAGATTTAAAATATAGACTAGGAGAGAAAGACTTAGGATAGAAGAGTATGAGCAAAAGCATTATACTTTTTTTAATATAATACTTTAATACTAATTTTTTTGTGTTAATACAATGAAGGTAGATAGAAGTTATTTATAGTTTTTATAGTTATTTACTTGTTTTATAACTATAATTATTTGGTAGGATTTCTCTAATTTTATAGTGTTTAATTTATGTTATTTATAACGTCTCTAATTTAATTATTTTCGGTTATGTTATTTATGATTATAATTATTTGGTGGATGTCTTTAACATCAGTTTATTTAATTATTTAATGTTAATTATAACTATAATTGTTTAATTACATGTTCACAAAATCTTATTTTATCCCATTATATTATGTTATTTATGATTATAAATGTTTGATAAGTGTCTTTTACCTTTTTTTATGTAATTTATCATTGTTTAATGAGCATCTTTAACGTTGTTTTTTTGAATGATTCTATATTATTAAATTGATAATAATATAACATTTAATTATTTTTTATTATACATATTTTTTAATTTAATTTTAAAATATTATATTTTGTTCGAGAAATAAATATAAACTAGTGCATAATATACTTATAAATGTAATAAACATTCATTAAAAATATTGTAATCATAACTAATCTCTTATGATGGTGACACTCTGAAAAATGATAATAAAATATTAAATAAATAAATAAATAAATAGATGAATAAAATAAAGATCTAAACTATTTATAATGGGATTTTTTTTAAGTTTAAATAGGTAAGTTCAAGTTTGATTAGATGATTTTGTATATTTTTTATTATTTATATTATGAGTTAGATAAGGAAGTGGAAGTTCATTTTTTTACTATATATGCTGCAACTTTCATTGTGCAAACTGACTCTGAAATAAATGCTTTATTTAATGTTTCATTGACCTCTGTGCTCCTCACAAGGACAAAGTCCATCCACATTCTTCAATCAGTCCTTTTCTAAAATAATTTTTAAATTTAGAGTACCAAGATAACCCAAGAAGGACAATGTTATATTTTAATATTGTGTGTATTATGCACAATAAAATTTAAGATAAATAAGATTTACAAGTGGTAAATGAGTTTGTTCCGAGATCAGACTTTTAACACATCAAAATCGGATGGATGGGTTAAAATTTTCAATGTATGAGACCGTTTTAATCCAGTCCCTCTAATCCCACAAATTGACGGGTAAGTCTGTCTGAACTCGTTTATTTTTTACTTTAAACTAAAAATAATTTAAAAAGATTAAATTTGTATATTATATTTTTGTGAAAATATAAGTATGTAATATTATTTATATTATATTTTTAGTTTTTAAACTTTCACACGATTTAAAATTCATCTTTTTTTCAAAATTTTAAAATATTTAGTTTATAAACTTTAAAAATTTATAGTTTTTTTAATTCAATTATATATATTTTATATTAAAATACTTTTTAACTAACATTAAAACAAAAATATATTAAATAATATAAACAATTAACGTGCTAGCTTAAAACACATTGAATACCTAAAAAATTTAATATAATTAAGTTAAAAAACTAGTTTTATTCATTTTTAATACTTATAAAAAATTTATCAAAATTTTAAATAAAAATGAATTTCAATTTTACATCAAAGTTTAAATACTAAAATCATATTTAACTTTAATTTAAATTATTATTACTTAAGTTCCAATTACTAACTATACAAAAAAATCTAACATATAAATATAATAATTATTTTAATTTATCAAATTAAAATATTAATTAATCAATAAAAAATTTTAAAAATATATGTATAATCAAATATGTTTATATTATTTATTTATAAGTATATATATAAATAAGTTTTAAAAATTAAAAATTATAAATAATTTTTTTATTTATATGAGAACTATTTAATTTTAAAAAATAAAAAATAGTATAGGATGAATTATTTTTATTTAATTAAATTGATTCAAATATTTTTTTAGAATTTTATAGATTTGATCTAACAAAAACGTAATAAAGAATCACTGAAGAAAGTAACATCATTAAACATTTGTGTTAAAATAACATTTTTAGCTATAACAACTATTATATCAATATGATTTGATACAATTCTTTTTTATTAATCACGAGACTAAATTTTAATACTTATTAAATAAAATCAAATTTAAATTACTAAAACACGCAAAAAGAAAATACTGTATAACGTCAACATAAAAACGACATATATTTGTGTAATTAAAATCACAATTATAACATCCGTTTTAAACATATGTTTAAATCAAAATTTATGATAATATTTTATGTAACAAATGTGAATTGATATTAATATACATTGAAACTAATATCAAAAGATTTTATTACATTTAGTCATCTCGATCGATCATCAAATTTGTTCTAAAAATATAAAAAAAAATAATGAAAGATCATTTGTGTAAAATATTTTTATTTCTTTTTTCTCTTTCTCGTTTATGTGAAAGCTCTCCCAACGATGAAACTTTATCTTTAACATCATATTTAACCCATTTTACTTTATGTTAAAGTTGTAGTGGTCGTTTGAGTTCAAACTTTCATTCTCTCTACTTGTATTTCATAGGAATTGGTGTTTTTTTATCTTCTTTCCCACTTCTAGGATTTTGTAAAATAGTTAGAGTATTTACATGTTACATGTTAGTCTCAAATTTAGAGTTATAGTAGTAAAAAGTTTCAAAAGGTCATAATTTTCTATAAACATCGGATGAAGTCATGTAAAAAAATAAAAGTTATTGGAAATGGATGACGGACATGATGACCAATACCTAAAAGGGATCGGAGTTCTTGAATTTTCAAAAAATCATCATTTAAAATGTTTTTATTTTCATAGTATTTTTTTTCTTAATTTTTTCATATTTTACAACTTTATTTAAGATATTTGAAACTTCTAAATTTTTTTGTAAATGCATCTTAAATTATATATTTATTTTCCATGAATTCTGAAGTAAATATTAATATTTTTTTAAAAACTCACAAATTGAAGTTATTTCAGAAACAACAAACAACAATTTAACGTTATTCACTTATTCAATATGATGTTGAAGTTTCAAAAGACTTCAAAAAGCCTAAAATACCATCTCTAAAAAGTTTTTCTTTTATGTTAGTAAATGTTTTTTTACAAATCTAACATATCATAAATATTTTAATGAAACTAGTTAAGTAATTATGAAGTATTAAGAGTTATTATGAAATATTTTATACTCCCTACATATCTTTATCGTAACATCCAAAAGAAATACTAAAAACCAACATAATCATTAACTTAACACTTATTATAAATTAATCTGTTGAACACAATCAACACCTTCAATCTCTTTAATTTTAGCCTTTAATATACTCTTTAAAATACATGTATGTTAATCAAAATTCAACATCCTAAGAAAAGCATTTGCTATCACAATAATTCACTGAAATGCCTAACCTAAGGTTTTCAAAATTTCATACCAATATTACTTTGGTTAAATGTATCTATCTTCCCATAATAATTTAGAGATTTCACTTCGAATAGAAGTAAAACTAAATTACAATTGTATAAATCTCATCTACAAATTAATTTTGTGAAATTAAATTAAACTTAAATATATCTAAAATTCCCTTTTAATATAATATCAAAATTATCCCAAATCTTTCATATTGTTTGATAGTTAGACGTATTCAAAGTTAATTATTAAAAAATAAAGAAGTGTTTAAAAAGTCATAGTTTAATTTTGTAAAAGTTGATTGAAAAATAAATACATTATTAAACCTTAAATTAACTTTTTTTCCCATCATATTACATGTACAAGAACAAACCTCCGTACACATGAAAAAGTAAAACAAATGAGATCTAAAAAAAATTGTTAAATATGTGGTTGCTCTTTTACTTTTATAATAATAATAATGAAAATTGAAATTAGTTTCTCTTTAAAACTTTACACCAATTTAGTTCTTTATTTTTAAAAATGCATGAATTTAATCCTTTTAATTAGATTTAATTAAATTTATTTGACGTTTCAAACACGTTTCTCCACTAAAGCAAAAATGTGTCAAACAGTGTAAACAACTCAAATAAAACTACGTGAATTTAACCATTTCATTAAAAATTTATTTGATATTTCAAACGCATTTCTTAGCTAACAGTGAAGCAAAAGTGTGTCAAACAGTATAAACAACTCATAGCTAACATGAAGAGTGTTTTGTACTTTATGTGACCGAAGACCCCTCGACACTGTCAACTACATCCTTTGGATTACTTAAGACAAAGACATGATATTGTTTACTGAGTACCTAGTCCAAGATAACTTGTATCCAATAAGACGACTACTGAATACTCCGCGAATGGATCACTTAGTCAAACAAAGATACCGAGTGCCAGGTACTATGTTTTATACACCAAAGATATCTTCTACTTTGATAACAATGTCACTTATTAAATTAGGATATCGCAGGGTCAAGGACATCCTTTTGTGAGATCACTTAGCTAAAAGTTATTTCAATTTCTTACAAGTAAGTTGGTTATT